GTTCTGAATTTTAGACCAACCTGTATTTTAATGACCCTATTTCTTTTGACTTTTGGACCACGATGTATTCTATTTACCCTAAGTGTCCTGACTTTTGGACCACACTGCACAAATAATAAAACGTAACTCTGTGTTTCCTGACTTATAGGACTCCCGATAGAATAACACTATGATTCATTACTTTTTGACCAACCCGTACAACAATAACCCTACGTGTCCTGGCTCTTGGGCTCCCTTCATTATAATAACCCTATATGTGTTCTGACTTTTGGGCCACGCTGTATTATAATGACGCTAATTTTCCTTACTTTTTTTGGGCCACCCTGTGGAATCATAACCCTATGTGTCGAGACTTATTGGGCCACCCTGTATAATAACCCGACGTGTCCTGACTTTTATGCTACCATGTACAATAATGACTTTTGCGCCTCCCTATAGAATAACCCTATGTATCCCGAATTTTGGATCACTTCGTACAATAAGCCAATGCGTCCTCACTTTTGGGCCACTTTGTACAATAATAACCCTGTGTTCCTGACTTTTGGGCAAACCCTGTACAATAATAACCCAACGTGTCCTGATGTTACGACCACCCTGTATAATAATAACTGTATTTGTTCTGACTTTTGCGTTATGCTGTACAATAATAACCCTGTCTTTCCTGACTTTTGGACCTCCCCATAGATTAACCCTATGTGTCCTGGCTTTTGGGTCACCACCCCGTATTATAATGACCTGTGTGTCCTGGCTTTTGGATCACCCTGGGTTATAAAAACCCTATGTCTTCCGACTTTCGGGCCAGGCTGTATTATAATAACCATATGTGTCCTGAATGTTGTGCTACCACGTATAATGTAACCCTGTTTCCTTTCCTTTGGTCCACTTTATATATTTTAAAAAACCCTATGTGTTCTGACTTTTGGGCCACCACAAATAATAATAATAATAACCCAAAGTGTCCTGACTTTTGGGCCACCCTGTACAATAACAACCCCTATGTGTCCTGACTATTATGCTACCCTGTACAATAATGACTTTTGGGCCTCCCTATAGAATAACCCTACGCATCCCAAATTTTGGCCACCTTGTATAATAAGCCAATGCGTCCTCACTTTTGAGCCACTTTGTACAATTATAACCCTGTGTTCCTGACTTTTGGGCCACCCGGTACAATAATATCCCTAAGTGTCCTGAATTTTTGGCCACTGCGTACAATCACAACCCTGTGTTTCTGACTTTTGGGCCACCCTGCACAATAACAACACTATATGTCCCGGCTTTTGGGCCACCCCGTATTATAACAACCCAATGTTTGCTGAATTTTTTGTCACCTTATATAATAATCAAATGTGTCCTCACTTTTGGGCCACTGTGTATCATAATAACCATGTGTTTTATGTGTTTCCTGGCTTTTGGGCCAGGTTGTATTATAATAACAACCCTATGTATCCTGACTTCTGGGCCACTTTGTAAAATAATCCTACGTGTCCTGACTTTTGGGCCACCATATACAATAATAACCCAACGTGTCCAGATGGTATGACCACCCTGTATTATAATAACCCTATTTGTTCTGACTTTTGGGCCACAATGGACTATAATAACGCTATGTATCCTGACTTTTTGGCCAAGCTGTACCATAATAACCCCGTGTTTCCTGATTATTGGGCCTCCCTATAGAATAACCCTCTGTGTCCTGGCTTTTGGGTCACCACCTCGTATTATAATGACCTATGTGTCCTAGCTTTTGGATCACCCTGGGTTATAATAACGCTATGTCTTCCAACTTTTGGGCCAGGCTGTATTATAATAACCATATATGTCCTGAATGTTGTGCTACCACGTATAATGTAACCCAATTTTTCCTTTTTTTTGGTCTACTTTATTAAAAAAATCCTATGTGTTCTGACTTTTGGGCCACCACAAATAATAATAATAACCCGAAGTGTCCTGACTTTTGGGCCACCCTGTAGAATAACAACCCCTATGTGTCCTGACTTTTGGGCCACCCTGTACAATAACAACCCTATGTGTCCTGACTTTTGGGCCACCCTGTATAATAACAACCCCTATGTGTCCTGACTTTTGGGCCACCCTGTACAGTAACAACCCCTATGTGTCCTGACTTTTGGGCCACCCTGTACAATAACAACCCCTATGTGTCCTGACATTTGGGCCACCCTGTACAATAACAACCCCTATGTGACCTGACTTTTGGGCCACCCTGTATAATAATAATAACCCTATGTGTCCTGAACTTTGGGCCATCCTGAATTTTAGGCCACCGTGTACAATAATTACTCTATATATGTCCTGGCTTTTGGGCCCCCTTATATAATAACAGCAACAACCCTATTTGTTTCGATTTAAAGCTTTCGTGACTGCAAGGATTCATCTTCCTTGGTTATTTCGGTAAAGTCACGTAGAATGAGAATAAAATAATAAAATAAAACAATAAAATTCTCACGACGTTTCGGCCACTTGTGTTGGCCACTTGTGTTGTGGCCGAAACGTCGTGAGAATTTTATTGTTTAATTTTATTAAATTATTCTCATCCTACGTGACTTTACCGAAAGAACCAAAGAAGATGAACCCTATTTGTCCTGTAATTTGGGTCACCGTGCATAATAATAACCCCCCAAAAATCCTGGCTTTTGGGCCACGTTGCACAATAATAACCCTGTTTCCTGAATTTTCGGACCACACTTCACGAACGCGTACACACGCACACGATCACACAAAGGTCTCCTTAGGTAGTCGACGCAGGGCTCCTCGTGGCAAGTGCCGCTAACAAATAGCAGCACCCATGAAGGGCGTTCTGGCACGGCGTCTACGATGAGTGGTGGGTGGGTGGGTGGTGGGTGGGTGGTGTCGTCGTGGCGAACCCCACCACGCCCAGCCACCTTTGTCTCCCCCTGGTGCTGTTGTCGGCACGCTCACGTACTTTGGCTCCAGCCTCTTTACTTTAAGGTTGAGTCGACCTAGGGGTGGAGGCCGCGGACCGGTTCTGACACCACTCGCCACTGCCTGCCGTGAGCCCTGATCGGGAATCGAACTTGGGGTCTGGCTGAGGTTTGCTTGCAAACCACACCAAAGGCAAAGGTCCCACACCCCCCCTCCCCCCTCCCCCCTAGCGGAGGGCAAACCGGGCACTTGAGGGCGTGGCCAAATATAACGCTCGTCTGCCCCGGCCGCCTTTGTCTTCCCAGTGGTGCTGATCTTGACACACCGCACCAGGTTGCTCCGTTTGACGGCTGAGTCGACCTATGGGAGGCGAGATCACACGTACATACAAAGACGAAGAGATGGATTCTCCGTATAGTCTTACACAGACTGCTGGGGCAAAGTGCTGTTAGTAGCGAGCAGCAGCAGCAGCAACGCCTTTATGAAGGCCGGAACGGTGGTGGCTAACACATTTGGGGATGGGTGGCCAGCAACCACGCGCACACACACATACACACAGAGGCACAGATATTGCAACAATAAACCCCCCCCAAAAAACAATAGAATTTTTTTAAAACCAAACAACATTTTTTTGGACTTTTTTGGGCCAAAAACCAACCCCCCCCCCCCCCCCCCCCCCAACAAATCCAAATTTTCTTATTTTTTTTTTGAAACGGCGGAACAAAACAAAACAAAAAAAAAACGGAGATGTGTTCTTCTTGTCATGTGTTTTTTTACGGGGCACAACTTTTTCCCGATTTTTCCTTCGGTCGCTGGAAAACCAAAAAAATTCGCGAACAATTCCTCGCAAACCTCTCCGTGAAAACCAAAAAAAAAAATTCGACAATCAATACATCTTTTTTTTTAAGCGCGGGGTGGTGGTGGTGGTGGTGGGTGGGTGGTGGTGGGTGGTGGTGGGTGGTGGGTGGTAGTGGTGGTGGTGGTGGCAGGGGGTGGTGAAGCTGTGGTGGATTTTTTGGCGAGTCAATTTGAACCCCGAACAAAATTGCCTGCAGCGTCCTACAACAAACCAAAATATTCGCTTCCTATAAAAATGTAGAAATAAATAAATCAATAAATAAAAACCCCAACCCGGAATTTTGTTTTTGTTTATCGTAAAAAAACAACCCTCCTCCTCGCACCCTCTCCGCAAAAAAAATAATAATTCGAAAACCCCAACACATTTTATTTATTTGTTTAAAGCTGGACGTGGCGGATAGGGTGGCCAATATTGGGGCCGATTTCAACGCCTTAGAACTTTCCGGCAGCGTCCAACAGCAAACACCAATTATTTTTTTTCTTTCTAGATTTGAAGCTTTCGTGACTGCAAGGATCCACACTCTTTGGCCTTCATCGGGTGAAGGGACCTGATCAAGGCCACTTGTGCTGTGGCCGAAACGTCGTGATTTTTGTTCGATTTATTTATTTATTTTTTACCTACGTGACTTTACCGAATGGAATCAAAGAGTAACGTTTCCCCCCCGCCCCCCCACTACTTTTCACTTCCCTAAAAACTAAATAAAATTTACCGTAAACACCACCACCACCACCACCACTCCTACCACTCCCACCACCCACTCACTCCGGAAAAGATTCGATAACCAACGCATTTTTTTTTTAAGCGGAGTGGTGTTGTTGGTGGTGGTGGTGTTGGTGTACGAGAGAGGGGGCTGCTAGGGTGTGGTGGATTTTTTTTATTTTGGGGGGGGGGGAGGGAGGGAGGGAGGGAGGGAGGGGGGGCGGTGATTGTAACCCCCTTAAAATTTGTTGCCAGCTGTCCAGCAACACACAACGTAATATGGCACCCTAAGCAAAAAAATAAAATTATTTAAAAAAATAAAACAACCCCCCACCACCACCACGCCCCCCCCCAAACAATCACCACCACCACCACCACCCCCACGGAAAAGACGCGACGATTTGACAACCACACCCTGCCCCCCACACCACCCTGCCCCCCCCCCCCAAAAAAAAATATATAAAACCCCAAGCACCGCAAGGCAAACCCTCTTGATCCTGTCTTTTTTTTTGTCTGTTTTTGTGCTTCCCCCTGACAGGAACAAATGCTAAGAAATTCACAGATGACTTCTCCACTAATGAGGGAGATGAAGAACGAGGTACACGACGATTTTGACTTTTTTGTGCGCTCTCTAACACCCCCCCCGCCCCCCCCCCCACCTGCGTCCCTCCCCCCCCTCCCCTCCATCTCCCTGCCCCCACCCCCCCCCCCCCCAGTCAAATTAAAAGGGGGGGGGTGTGGGGGTGGAACGGGCGCTGATCTCACACCCCCGCCCCCCTTTTTTTGTAGCAATAATAAACCCACAATACCACCCACACCCCTAAGCCCTCTCCACACTCCCACCCCCAGCCCTCTCTCCTACCAACCCCACCCCCAACCCAAGCCCCACCCACCCCACCCCCAACCCCCTCCCCACCCACCCCACCCCTAAGCCCCTCCCCACCCACCCCACCCCCCTCCCCACTCACCCCACCCCCAACCCCCAACCTCAACCCCACCTCACCCCTAAGCCCCTCCCCACCCACCCCACCCCCAACCCCCTCCCCACCCACCCCACCCCTAAGCCCCTCCCCACCCACCCCTAAGCCCCTCCCCACCCACCCCACCCCCAACCCCCATCCCCACCTTTTTAAACTCAGCTGTTCACGCCGTTTTATATTTATTTTTTAAATATTTTTTTTCCTTCCGACCACCACCACCAGCAGCAGCAGCACCACCCCCCCACCCCACCCCCCACCCTCCCCCCACCTTCCCCCCACCTTCCCCCCACCCTCCCCCCACCCCCCCCTCCCCTCCCCTCTCGAGCCACTTTCTTCACCCCAAACAACAAGTAAGCGCCCAAGTGGCAAGGATTCTTTTTTTAAGACCCCCCTCCAAACAAAACCAAAACAACGAATCGATATTTTTTCGCAAACGAATTCCCCCTTTCCCTCACACCCCACCGCCACCACCACCGCCACCACCGCCACCTCCTCCTCCGCCTCTCTCGTTTGCGACGAATCCCAAACGTTCTGAACGTGGGAATTCACTTCGCTGAACGAAATTCTTCGCCTCTCGTTCCGTTCCGTGCGTGTTAGGGGGAAAAAACCCCCCAAAAAAAAACATTTTTTCGGTCTTCGGATTTTTTGGACTTTTGATTTTTTTTTTGCTTCTCTGAAAAAGTTTTTCTTCTTCAAACAAAAACCACCCCCCCCCCCACTCCCCCCAACAACAACAAATTCTCTTTTTGAAAATCCACACGCACACACCCCCCCACCTCCACCCACACGTACCACCCTAGGTGTCTCATATCTCGACTATCTTGTGCCTCACGACGGGTGAAACAATGAGGAACACAGATCTCACCATGCCCCTGTGTGTGTGCGTGTGTATTGTTTCAATTCTTGACGTCGGATATCCGACGATGGTCGGATAACGCGACGCATGTGCTCTTACGTGGATGCCCGTGGCTGCTTCCCGTACAGGGACAGCTGCCGCTGGGGGTGCCCCTAGACTAGACCCACACAGCAGTCAACCATCACCACCCCTACTACTGACAGACTGATGCACAGAGACAGCTGCTACTGGGGGTGCCCCTAGACTAGACGACACAGCAGCAGCAATCATCACCACCCCCTACTACTGACAGACTGATGTACAGAGACAGCTGTCACTGGGGGTGCCCCTAGGCTAGACCCACACAGCAACAATCATCACCACCCCCTACTACTGACAGACTGATGCACAGAGACAGCTGTCACTGGGGGTGCCCCTAGGCTAGACCACACAGCAGTCAACCATCACCACCCCTACTACTGACAGACTGATGCACAGGGACAGCTGTCACTGGGGGTGCCCCTAGGCTAGACCACACAGCAGTCAACCATCACCACCCCTACTACTGACAGACTGATGCACAGAGACAGCTGCCACTGGGGGTGCCCCTAGGCTAGACCCACACAGCAACAATCATCACCACCCCTACTACTGACAGACTGATGCACAGGGACAGCTGTCACTGGGGGTGCCCCTAGGCTAGACCCACACAGCAGCAACAATCATCACCACCCCTACTACTGACAGACTGATGCAGAGAGACAGCTGCCACTGGGGGTGCCCCTAGGCTAGACACACACAGCAGTCAATCATCACCACCCCTACTACTGACAGACCAATGCACAGGGACAGCTGCCACTGGGGGTGCCCCTAGGCTAGACCACACAGCAGTCAATCATCACCACCCCTACTACTGACAGACTGATGCACAGAGACAGCTACCACTGGGGGTGCCCCTAGGCTAGACACACACAGCAGTCAATCATCACCACCCCTACTACTGACAGACTGATGCACAGAGACAGCTACCACTGGGGGTGCCCCTAGGCTAGACCGCACACCAAGTGTATGTTCGAGATGAGATGCAAGGTTACTCTGTGATGCTGAGGCATTTAAGGGCCCTATGCATACAAATGCACATGGATCTCCAGCACGTGCGCGTGTGTGTGTGTTAACGTTGTATTCCTTTAGGGACTGAGAGTCAGTTTGAGTTTCGTGTTCAGTGGATTTGGTGTCACGCTCATCTGAGAGCTGTGGGAGCTGTCAAAGATGTTGCAGTCCAATGTCGAACTAACCCTCTGTGCGGTGAAACACATCTCGGCCTAGCAGGCCCGGACGGTCCCATGTCCTCACGCGCACACGTGAGCATGGTGTTAATTCATTGCCACCACCACTACCACACTGCTGGTCGCAAAAGCACTCACTAACCCACTCGCCCACTCACTCACTCACCCACCAACTCACTCACTCACTAACTCACTCACTAACCCACTCACTCACCAACCCACTCACTCACTTATTAACCCACTCATTCATTCACTAACCCACTCACTCACTAACCCACTCACTCACTCGCCCACTCACTCACTCACTCACCAACTCACTCACTTGCCCACTCACTCACTCACCAACTTACTCACTAACCCACTCACTCACCCACCAACTCACTCACTCACTAACTCACTCACTCACCAACTCACTCACTAACCCACTCACTCAACAACCCACTCACTCACTCACTAACCCACTCATTCATTCACTAACCCACTCACTCACTAACCCACTCACTTGCCCACTCACTCACTCACTCACCAACTCACTCACTAACCCACTCACTCACCCACCAACTCACTCACTAACTCACTCACTCACCAACTCACTCACTAACCCACTCACTCAACAACCCACTCACTCACTCACTAACCCACTCATTCATTCACTAACCCACTCACTCACTAACCCACTCACTCACTCGCCCACTCAATCACTCACCAACTCACTCACTCACTAACCCACTCACTCACCCACCAACTCACTCACTCACTAACTCACTCACTCACTCACCAACTCACTCACTAACCCACTCACTCAACAACCCACTCACTCACTTACTAACCCACTCATTCATTCACTAACCCACTCACTCACTAACCCATTCACTCACTCGCCCACTCACTCACTCACTCACCAACTCACTCACTCACTAACCCACTCACCCACCAACTCACTCACTCACTAACTCACTCACTCACTCACCAACTCACTCACTAACCCACTCATTCATTCACTAACCCACTCACTCACTAACTAACCCACTCACTCACTCGCCCACTCACTCACCAACTTACTCACTCACTAACCCACTCACTCACCCACCAACTCACTCACTCACTCACTAACACACTCACCAACTCACTCACTAACCCACTCACTCACCAACCCACTCACTCACTAACCAACCCATTCATTCACTAACCCACTCACTCACTCATTAACCCACTCACTCACCAAGTCACTCACTCACTAACCCACCCATTCACTCACTAACCCACTCACTCACTCACTCACCCACTCACTCACCAATTCACTCACTCACTAACCCACCCACTCACTCACTAACCTACTCACTCACTCACTCACCCACTTACTCACTAACTTGCCAACCCACTCACTCACCAACCCACTCACTCGCTCACTCAGCAACTCACTCACTCGCTCATTCTCCAACCCACTCACTCACTCACCAAGCCACTCACTCACCAACCAATTCAATCACTCACTAACCCACTCACTCACTAATCCACTCACTCACTAACCCACTCACTCACTCACCAAGCCACTCACTCACCAACCCATTCACTCACTCACTAACTAACCCACCCACTCACTAACCCACTCACTCACTCACTAACCCACTCACTCGCCAAGCCACCCACTCACTCACTCACCAACCCACTCACTCGCTCACTCTCCAACCCACTCACTCACTAACCCACTCACTCACTAACCCACTCACTCACCAACCCTCTCACTAACTCACCAACCCACTCACTCACTCACTCACCAACCCACTCACTCACTAACCCACCCATTCACTCGCCAACCCCCTCACTCACCAACCCACTCCTTCACTTACTCACAAACCCACTCACTCACTCACCGACCCAATCTCTCACTCACTCACCAGCCCACTCACTCACTCACTAACCCACTCACTCATTCGCCAACCCACTCACACTCTGACCCACTCAATTACTCAACAACAACAACCGCCATTCGCTACTAAGTTGTGGTGGCATCACCACGGCGCTTGTGCCAGGCTAGGTGCACCTTGAGGCCACGTGAAGTGTCGAAGGCCCGCTTGCAGGAGGTCTCGGGAGACAGATCCAGGTGCCATGGGTTGACTGACTGAGATGACTGGCTGATGCACCACCTGTGCCCCCTACTGTGCCAACTTGCTGCGCTTTAGCCACCCGTCACTCCGCTCGTTGTTGTGAGCGTCGCTCCTCCGCCCTCCGTTGTTGTTGGAGGGCGACTACCTCCAACTGCCCAGTAGCGTCCTTCACGAGCCTCCTCCACAGAGGCCGATCTTGACACCGCTGGTACCGGTCATCGGCAAGTCCACTCAGCTCCACGTCCTCCTGTACCACATCACTCAATCTCTTCTCTAGCCCGTGCCACGCCCGTTTAGCCCCCTCAATCCTGCCGAACAAAAGCTGTTTCGGCATGCGGCGGCTGGGCATGCGGGCTACATGACCCAGCCATCGCAGCCTTGCCTGCCGG